CTCTCTTCCACGCGTCTTTATTTCTTCTGGTTTTTTACAAGTTATTAATTTAACCGTGGATATTGGCCCCTCTTCTAGATTACAGATGAAACAGGACCACTCTTTAATTAATTGTTGATGGCAACTTCTTACCACAATTTCTGGCACTTTTGGGTTCATTTATACCTTTTGTTTGAGTTGATTACCGCTTGGCATTTTTGGGTTAAAAGTGAACATAAATGTCATAAAATGCAGAAAACACTTGCATCTTTCTCTGAAAGATTCGCCAAATTGTTTGGTCGTTTTATGGATAATACAGGAACCTGAAAGTTGTATTTCATGACTTTCCTGGGGGAGCTGAGGGATTCGAGCTCATAGCAAGGTTTTGCTATAACAATGGGAGAACTGAGATAACTCCTGCCAATATAGTCTTACTAAATTGTGGAGCACAATATATGGAGATGGATAGTGTTGACGAAAACGGGTAAAGAAAACGAAAGAACACGAGAATTTTACGAGGTTCGGCAATGTGCTTACGTCCTCGGTGCCTAGGCGGCGCTAGAAGTTTTATTCAATGATATTTTAGGTCTAGGTTACATCTCTATTTATAATAGAAAACCCTGGTACATAATTACAAAATCAACCCTGTACCGTACCGCGGGGGCTGCGCCCCCACACCCCCAACCCTCATAATTCGTAACCCCACAACGAGACTTTTTATGAGCCATACATAACAAATCTCCACCTTGGCGAATATCCTGCCCCTTGGAAACTTCAATGTGGGTTGGGTTACCTTGCTTCTTTAACAATTCGAAACATTCAACAAGTCCAAGCAATGCTTGAACTTGTCTGTCGTAACTGGCTTGGTGAACATATCAGCGGCATTCTCATCAGTATGTACCTTCTGAAACAAAACCTCTCCAGATGCAACCAACTCTCTGATCTTGTGGAACCTTACATCAATATGTTTAGTTCTAGCACGATACACCTGATTCTTAGCCAAGTGAATAGCACTTTGATTATCACAAAGCAACTGAACTCCACCTTGTTGAACACCCAAACTCCTTCACTAAACCAGTAAGCCATAAAGCTTCTTTTGCAGCTTCAGCCGCTGCCATGTATTCAGCTTCAGTTGTAGATAGTGCCACGACAGATTGAACAGTAGACTTCCAGCAAATAGGCCCTCCACCAAGAGTAAACATACCCTGTCGTAGATCTTCTATTATCCAAGTCACTGCATAATCTGAATCCACATATCCTACAACCAAAGGGTTATCCCGCTGACTCCCAAAAACAATTCCATGTCCCACAGTACCCTTTAAGTACCGAAAGATCCACTTGACTGCTTCCCAATGTTGCTTACCAGGTTTAGACATGTACTTACAAACTGACTAACAGCTGAGCTAAATCAGGACGAGTACATACCATCGCATACATCAAGCAGCCAACAGCATTAGAATACGGAACCTTTGCCATATCTTCAGCTTCCTTATCTGTCTTGGGGCACTGTTCTGATGAGAGCTTAAAGTGATTCGCCAATGGAGTGCTAACTGGTTTTGCGCTGCTCATCGCAAACCTTTCTAGCATTTTCTCACATAACCCGTTGAGATAGCCGCAGTTTCCTTGAGTCTCTGTCCCTGCAAATTTCCATTCCAAGAATTTTCTTTGCAGCACCTAAATCTTTCATATCAAATTCCTGACTCAATAAAGTTTTCAAACCGATAACATCATCCATGTTCTTCGCAGCAATCAACATATCATCAACATACAGTAATAGAAAAATAAAAGAACCATCATCAAGGCTCTTAACATAGACACAACAATCATACTCACATCTGTTGTAGCCAATCTTGATCATATAGGAGTCAAACCGTTTATACACTGTCTCGGAGACTGTTTTAACCCGTACAAAGATTTCTTCAATCTGCAAACTAAATGTTCGTTTCCAGGTTGAGTGAAACCTTCAGGTTGCCGCATGTAGATCTGCTCCTCTAAATCACCATGCAAAAAAGCAGTTTTAACATCCATCTGCTCTAAATGCAAATCTCAACTAGCCACCAATGCAAGTACTGCTCGGATTGAAGTGTGCCTGACCACAGGAGAAAGATTTCATCATAATCAACTCCTTTCTGCTGTGAAAAACCCTTCGCTACCAAACGAGCCTTGAACTTCTCCCCCTCTTTTTCTGTTACTGCTGGTTTCTTCTTATACACCCATTTGCAACCAATCGGCTTCTTACCTCAGGAAGGGGAACTAACTCCCATGTGCGATTGTGATTCAAAGACTCCATCTCCTCAACCATGGCTGCCATCCACTTGTCGTTTTCCTGACTAGTAACGGCATCATGAAAAGTAACTGGATCATCACTGCTAACAGTAAGTGCAAAAGATACCAAGTCTTCAAAACCCAATCTGTTCGGAGGCTTTATATTCGTCCGTCTCACCCTGTCTCTGGCGAGACTATAATCCTGCAAATCATCCGTAGTGGAACCACCAGAAGTCGGTTGAGAAGTTTCTGGTTTCTCAACTGGAAACTGCTCGAAATCTACCACTGTCGTGTCTTGCTTCTGCTGCAACATAGACTGTTCATCAAAAACGACATCTCTACTAATCACAACTTTCTTCGCACTGGATCCCAGAACTTGAATCCTTTGACACCTTTCTTGTAACCCAGAAAAATACACTCCTTCGATTTTGCATCAAGTTTGGATCTCTCATCAGCAGGTACATGCACATAAGCAGGACAACCAAAAATCCGTAAGTTATCAAAACTACATCATGACCAGTCCATACCTCTTCTGCAACTTTCCCAGCCAGCAATGCCCTTGGCGATCTGTTGATAAGGTAACACGCCATGTTAACAGCCTCAGCCCAGAAGTGTTTGGGAAGCCCCGCATTCAACCGCAAACATCTGGCTCTTTCATTCAACGACCTGTTCATTCGTTCTGCAACACCATTCTGTTGTGGTGTCTTGCGCACTGTAAAATGCCTCTGAATCCCATGCTCCTTACAGAATTGTAGGAACTGTGAATCTGTGTACTCCGTACCATTGTCAGACCGCAAACACTTGATTTTTCGTCCTGTTTGGTTTTCTACCTCAGCTTTCCACAGCTTGAACTTCTCAAAAACTTCAGATTTCTGTTTCAAAAAATACACCCAAACTTTCCGTGAAAAATCATCAATAAAAGTAACATAGTACCTAGATCCACCCAAGACGATGTCGTGGAAGGCCCCATACATCAGAATGCACATAATCAAGAATCCCTTGAGTTGTGTGCTTCGCAGTCTTGAAACGGACTTTAGTCTGTTTACCAAGAACACAATACTTGCAAAGTCGAGCTTACAGCTTTTGACACCATGCAACAAGTTTCTCTTGTGTAATTCTGCCATACCACGTTCACTAAGATGAGCAAGGCGCATATGCCACAATTTTGTCGTATCATCACAGGACTCAACAGAGTGAACTCCACCTGCAACGGTACTCCCTAACAATCTGTAGATATTCCCTGCAGTCATCTTGCCTTTCATCACAGTCAATGCTCCTTTAACAATCCGAATGGTTTCCCTATCCTCGTCAGCCTTAGGGATAAAACCATTCTTGTGCAAAGTGCCCAAGGAAATCAAATTCTTCTTCAAGTCTGGGATATGTCGAACACCACTCAACGTCCGAACGGAGCCATCGTGCATCTTAATTCTGACATCACCAATACCAACAATATTGCAACATCGATCATCACCCAAATAAACCGAACCAGAATTAACCGGCCTGTATGTCGAAAACCATTCCCTATTTGGCGTGATGTGATAAGAACATCCAGAATCAAGAATCCAAGCATCCGTCAATTGTGTCGTTGAAATAGAAAGCATATCACCCTCACTGCAATCAGAAGTATCATCCTCGACCACGTTCACAGACTTGGATGAGCCATCACGCTTCTCATCGGTCTGCTTTTTCAACTTCGGACAGTCTCGCTTCATATGTCCCGCCTCCTTGCACTTGTAACAGTGAATCGTCTTCTTATCCCTGGATTTGGATCTGGAATTCCGCTTCCCGGACCCTGCCTTCTCTGGCTTCCGTCCACGATCTCGATTACCCTTGACATATAAGCTATCGGCTTGAGAGCTTTCCCCTGCATTCTGCTTCCGCTGGTTGTGAGCCAACAAGGCTGCAGTAATTTCCTCAACGTTGATAGTCTCTTTCCCATATGTAAGAGTAGTCACCATGTGTTCGTAAGAGGAAGGCAACGAACACAACAGAATCATCGCTCTGTCTTCATCTTCAATTTTCACATCAAGCCGAGCCAGATCAGAAACGATTTGATTGAAGACATTCACGTGTTGCGCCAAATCGTGATCGTCCTGCATCTTCAGCCCATACAGCCGCTGCTTCAGATACAGTTTTGTCGTTAAGGATTTGGACATAAACTGACTTTCCAACTTCCTCCAAATTTCGTCTGGAGACGATAGATGCATGACGTGATACATGACCTCGTCCGCCAAGCATAATCTTATGGTTCCTGCCGCTCGCTGCTGCAATTCTTCCCAATCTTCCTCATCCATCGACGCCGGCTTTGTAGGTCGCAAAGCCTTCAAGATCCCTTGCTGCGCCAATAGATCCTTCACCCTCGTTTGCCATAATCCGAAGTTACCCTGACCATCGAATTTCGCGACTTCGAATTTTGCTCCTGACATCTGATACCAATTGTTGACGAAAACGGGTAAAGAAAACGAAAGAACACGAGAATTTTACGAGGTTCGGTAATGTGCTTACGTCCTCGGTGCCTAGGCGGCGCTAGAAGTTTTATTCAATGATATTTTAGGTCTAGGTTACATCTCTATTTATAATAGAAAACCCTGGTACATAATTACAAAATTAACCCTGTACCGTACCGCGGGGGCTGCGCCCCCACACCCCCAACCCTCATAATTCGTAACCCCACAACGAGACTTTTTATGAGCCATACATAACAGATAGTGATGGCCCCAGACCTAACTTGTTGAACCAAACCAAAAAGTCTCTAGATGGCATCAGCTTCTGGTCCTGGTCTGAGCTCCTTGTAGCTTTGAAAGAGAGCCAAGGTTTGCTTTCTCCATCGAAGCCTTCGCTAATAATCGATAAAGTCCTGGATTGTGTTATAGGAAGGCTTGCCTCTCCTATTGTTGCAAGTCCATACACATCTTCTTCGGAGAACTCAAGTTTCCAGTGTTCATCTGATACAAGGAGCAGCTATAGTATCAGAAACAATTCCTATCATGTATCTTGGTGGTTTGAGGATCTTCTGTTTTTGAATATTGACTTGATTGGTAAGTTAATAAAAAAGATGATATCCCAACATTTTGATCATGCTACGATAATTAAGTTCCTCTTCTGTTATCAAAGATCGAGCTTCCTTACTGCCACCCCTACTGAGAAGTACAGAATCATGGAGGTCATAATTAATTTGATTTCCTTGCTTTATAGGAGCTTCCTTTCTTGCAAGCTCTTATTCGACATCTATCGAGTGGCTTCAAGTTTGAAAATTAGCAAACATTACGAATCCATTTTGGAAAATCTTATCGGTTTACAACTGGATCAAGCAACCATAGATTTTTTTCTTGTTCCATCACCACAAAAGAAACTTTACATGTATGATGTGAATCTAGTACTGAGGCTGGTAAATGCATTTCAAAATGAACAAAGTTGTTGCCAATCCCTGATTCGATTTCGAAAAGTTGCAAGCTTACTTGACTCGTACCTTGTGGAAGTTTCAGCAGATTACTACTTGAACCCTTCAAAGTTTGCAGCATTAGTCCTCCTGCTGCCAGATTCTGCAAGAGAATCCCATGATAGGCTTTTTCAAGCCATAGACATTTATCTACAGGTATATTTCCATCAACTTATAAATTGTTATAAATGCAATTAATTGCTTTGCACAAATTCTCTATTTTTCTTACAATTGAAGTAATGATGTTGGTGTAGTATATTACTTGAAAGTTTGCAGGCCTTTCCCTAGGGCTCAATCAATTCAGTCTTGTAAAATTTAAGTAAATTCATTTCATTTACAAAATGATTAGGGAAAAACTGATATTGTAGCTGGTTAAGTGTACATGCTAATTCTAATTTGATTGCTCATACCTGAATCAGATCACTTATTAGTTAGTATTGGGACCAATGCTAATCCAATATCTCAAGTTTGCTGACTGATGAAATTTCTGAACAGGTTCATGGAGGAATATGTGAAGCACCGAAAATGAGAATTTGCAGTGCACTTAACTATGCAAACCTCTCGACCGATGCATTGAGACACTTGGCTCGGAACTCGAAATCTCCGTCAAGAATAGCTATACAAGGTTTCCTTAATCAGCAGTCGAAGCTAGAAAACTTACTTGAAGGCCAAAAATATATTGACACATTTAGTGGTTTCATCTCTACCAAGGAAAGTGTCAAAGAGATAGAGAACAACGATCAAATCGTCGTGTATGCAAAACAAGCCAGCGTTCGGGGGAAAGCCGAACAACTTTATGTACTGCTGCAAGGAATGCAATGCAGGGTAACAGAACTGGAAGATTTGTGGAATAATGCATGCTCAAATAAGAAATATTTCCCAGAACAAGATTATCCAGTCTAGGTAATAATGCTAGATTCTTACCAAAACTCTGCTCTTGAAACATACCCTTGCCTCCAGAGTCTTTTATAGTTTGGCCCTGCATTGTTTTTGAAAAATATTTGCACATTCTAAGCCAATTAATGTAAATATAGATTATTTTTGTAACAAATGTTGTAAAAGAGTGACCAGTGGATGACTTAATTAGATTTGTAGTTGATGATTTTGTGTTAGTTTCATTTCCAGATCAAGTTTTCCCATTGAAACAAGTCAAAGAGAAAGCTCCAAGTTTTGATAGGTTTTACCAACTGACGACTAACAACAGTCTGTTGAATGTCAATAAAATGTAGTTCACAAATCAGTCATTATCGAACATCTCAAAATCTCAAACTACATCTCTAAATGCTCATCACATCACTTTTTATCATATTCATATTTCTGCTTGGAAAAGGTCATTTCTTTCCAGTCCTTTGAATCTAATACCGAACGCCATTTTTCAAATCAACTCCCTACGGTTTATAATAAGCCTTCCAAGCAACTTCTCTCACTTCATTCTTACCGATTCTTTCGATGGAAAAAAGCTTCGTCGCCAACTTAGGTTGGGAAATGCTCCTTTTTCAAAGGAGATTTCATTTCTGTTGTGAATGAATTTTGACCTCAGATTGCATTATTCAAACGTATCAAGCAAGTTTGATCTAATTCTATCGTAAGAGTGGTCAATATCGTTAATTTCTTTCATAGGAAAATTAATATTCCAAGGTCAAATCCTCAATCTGATATTGATTATTTTTTCCATGTTACTAAAAAAATGAAGATTTCTATGTTCATCGTTTAATTTTCAATACTGCTGGGGCTTTAATGTCATCTTCAAGTTTAACAATGCAATTTCTTTTAGAAGTGAAGAATCACAAGCACAAGCAGAAGTGGAAGCAGGAAGACTTGAGATTCATAACCGAGTCTTGAAAGAAAATATTGTTGGATATCACTTATCAGGGCCTGCCTGCTCTTCCATTTGTTCCACCAACTATCGAAGTTGTTTTACGGGGCCGATTGGTTTAAATCTATAGCCCCAAAGAAATGCCCGATCATCAGGCTAATGGTATGACAATCTAGAATGGGCCAAATCGTACTGCCCAAACATATACGCTCCCCTGTCAGAATCCAGTACTAAATTTTAAGACAAAATCCCAGGTATAAAGATAAGATGTCCTAAACCAATTTAATCTTATGGCAACGCTCCTGCTCTGGGGTTAATCAAATGAGACAAAGGGAATACGCTTCCATGAAAGGTACCAATAATCTCTTGGTGTGCGTCTCGTGGCAACTAGAGAAGAAGGAAACCTCTATGTATTGGACCCACACTTGTCCAATCCAAGGTGGTTTCATTTGGGATTTTGTTTTGGACACAAATTCAATACTCTTCCCTTAGACATTAACAAACTTCAATTAAAACCAATGCTACGAATTTAATATTATTGATTTATTTTTTGAATGGAAGTAAATTGGCTTCCGAAACAAGTCAATCCCTTTCAGACAAATGCTTGGGAAACCAAATGTCCAAATCTAAAACCGTCTAACATGCAACTTCGAGGAAGGAGGAGAGTTTTTTATGGACACAGTCACCAAATCAAAAAAAGCAGCAGCAACTGCCAGGGCAGCAAAGACAGACATCCTTCTCATATGTTTTATCTTCACCTTTAATTTGTTCTCATCACAACACTCTTTCCTCGAACATTTCTTCCCATTTCCCTCCTTAGCATTATTCTCTCCCCCCATCACATATAAATACCCCCTCAACCCCTCCTTCCTCTGTGCCAAACTAGTTTCCATTTCAAAATCATACAAGCTAAAAACCCTAAACAAAAAGAGAAATGGGGTCAAAAAATGTGGTGGTGTTCGAAGATTTTTTCCCTGCCATGGTTGAGAAACTGGGAGCTGAAGGTTTCATGAAGGAGCTGAGCAACGGGTTTCGGTTGCTGGTGGATGGAGACAAGGGAGTGATCACCCTCGAGAGCTTGAAAAAGAACTGGGCAGTGCTTGGGTTGAAAGAAATTAGCGATGAGGAGGCCAAGTGCATGTTGAGGGAAGGTGATTTGAATGGGGATGGGGCTTTGAATGAGATGGAGTTTTGTACCCTCATGCTTAGGCTGAGTCCTGACTTGATGAACCACTCACAAGAATTACTGGTGGAAGCTATTGTCAATTTCTAGACCCTTTGTTCAGCTAGTATTTATTTAATTATGCTTTTTGTAATTTGCACCGCTCGTAAGAGTATTATATTTAGAGTGCGTTTTATTCACAGAATGTAATATTATCAGTGAAAATAAAAGATTATCAAGGAATAAGATTACTGAGAATATTGTATTTTGTGTTTGGTTGGTTTAACATGAATGTAAGATTATCGTGTTTGGTTAAAGGAATAAAATATTATTAGAATGTATATTTTACCAAATTATCATTGTTATATATTTATTTTTTAACGAGTTGGAAAATATTTATATATTTTCTTTAAAAAATTAAATTCATAAAATTTATATAGTTTTTTTATAAAATTAAAAATATAAAAAGGTTTAATGAAATGGTAAAATTTTATTTTAACCCCTGAACTTCATATAAAATTTTAATTATAGATTTTTTTGTAAATCTAAAAATAGTTTAAGGATAAATTTATAATTTAACCTTCGTAGAATTTTTATTATTCAATGACAGAATAATAATATTTTTGAAAGAAATTTTTTTAAGGACATTTTAGTCCAAAACGCTGGTAATCCAACAATACCTAAAGAAAGAGAAGTAATGATATTCCCGATAATATACCCCAAAAAATCCACTATTGATAATATAAGATTACCGGAAATAACATTCTCGGTCAACCAAACGGGAGAATGTGGATTTCATTCCCATGAGAATCTCACGTTCTCCCGACCAAACACACTCTTATATATATATATCCAAATATTTGAAGTGCTTTCATTCCAGTTCCGATTTTCATATAAGCCCTGCTCCGCTGATAAACCACTAATTATAGAGCACTTGGGCCTAAAAATGCCAATCAAAAACCAATTTTATTTCACGACCAAGTAACTTCTTGGGTAGGCAAGGCGCCTTACACTTTAAAATAATTTAAGTTAAAATTTAAAAACACTATGTCTAGAATAGACAATCACAAATTTCAAACATAAATATAAGATGGGATAAAAATACTACAACAAAATAAGTCATAAAATAACGCGAATTAAGCGAATTCAATGATTAAGGACTTAAGGAGTTCATTATAATCTATAAAGGTTCTAGATTCGAATATTATACATATCAGAGATATAAATGTTCACTACGAGATAAGTGTGAGTTTTTAATACACTTTACATTTATAAAAGAAATATAATAAAATAATTTTTTATTTCTATCGAAACAAAACAAATGGAGAACTTTGATCTATAATTTTTCTAAATTATCGGAAAATAATTAATTTATATTAAAAATCTTAAATTTTATACTAATGAAAACATCAATTTGAGTTTTTGTCTTTCACATCACTTCCTATTTATGCAATGGGTAACACAATTTGATGAGCTTGGCGTGAAAAGTGACATTCTTATTACTCAATTATTGGTGATGGTGGTGGGTCAAAACTTGACAATTTTAAACAGGGAGTGGTGTTCGTTCCTGAAAATTGGTACCTCCCCATGCAACTTCGAGGAAGGAGTATACTGTATATGCCGGTCCGCAACAACCTTCCCAAACAACTTCCTCTTACCGGTACATACAATCCTTCCTCCAAGATTTATGTTTCCTTTCCTCCAACAGCTATATATTTAGCACCCCACACCTAACTATCTAACTCGGCCTTTCACTCTATTAATTCCATTTGAAACTCCTCGATGGAAGCTCAAAACGAGATTGTGTTGGAGAAGTTAGGTGCTGAATCATGAAAGAGCTGTGCATTGGGTTTCCATCGTTGACGGATGGGGAGAAGGGGGTGATAACTTTTGAGGGCATGGACTTGCTCGGATTGGGAGATATGAGCGACGAGCAACTGGTTTGCATGTTGAGAGAAGGCGATGGTGGCTTGGATGACATGGAGTTTTGCCCTTTAATGTTTAGGTTGAGTCCTGCTTTGATGAACTGCTCAACAACGTTGTTGGAAGAAGCTTTAGGGGCTGTTTGTTTATTGTTGAATGAAATCATTCAACGCTGAATGTTGAACCGTTCAACATTCAGCGTATTTGATTCTCACATCTGAATGAAGATTGTGCTGAATGATTTAGCAAAACACTGTTGAATAATTCAGCATTAAAGTATATTCTGAATGATTCAGAACCATTATCAAACAACATGTCACATTCAGAGCTAATTCATACAGAGTCTTTGAATCATTCAGCGCTTAATCATTCTGATTTAATCAAACAACCCCTTCGTTACCCAAATATAAACGCTTGATTTTCTATGCAGCTGCGATGGTGTAATAGGACCAACAATTGGGCCAAGCTAAAAGTTCATGTATATTTTGTTTTAGCCGATCTTGAGAAAAATAAATATCAATAATTTTTAGAGTGAGTAGCTAAACTTTTTTAATTGATATATTTTTTCTTTAAATTATACGTTTAATATTTATTGTAGTAAAATTTATTTTTCTCTTTTGATAATTTTTTTTTAAAAAGTTAGACCATACATGGATGAAGTATTTGTTTATTTTAAATCGGTTTCGGTGGCTTGAGATTCTATCAATAACAGAGGCGGACCCAGGAGCATTCGTCAAGGGTTGTAAGAGCCGTACGGGTGGCACTTTTGAGAGGTGACACTTGTATTAAGGGTGACACTTGTGGAGGGGTTGCTTGGGATACCCCGGACACTATGGAAGTCCGTCCCTGGATGAGGGGTTGCCCGGGACACCCGGCTCCATGGAGGTCCGCCCCTGATCAATAATACATTGTTGTTACATTATGTGCAAATCAAGCCGTATTTGGGCTTGAGCAGGAGGGCCTTCAAAACCCTATTTTACCACTAGAATAACAGTGCAGGAAAAAGGAAGAGTTTTTAACACAATAAAATATCGAATCGTTGCACAATATAGACAACTTTAATAAGTCTATCTTAGGTTACGATAATCTTAAACAATAGGCATCCATTCGTAATTGGCAATTGCTTATATTTACCCATAGCTTCATTAATCAACATTAATTTAACTTTCATTATCTTTTCTAACTCTTTTTTTAAAATCTAATTAATAAACAAATACAACTAAATACCCTAAATCATAAATTTTAAAATTTTAAATCCATTATTAATCTCAAACGCACTAAACCTTATTTTAATATTTTTAGTATTATATTTTATTTAATTAATAAACTCAAAAAATTAAATTAATTAAGAATAAAAATATCGCGAGAAAAAATATAATAGCAGAAGGGTATGATATTAGAAGCTAAATAAATTAACAAAATAAATTAATTCTAATATGCACAAACATAACATAATAATATGTCTTATGAGCTAAATAAATTAAGAAAATAAATATTTATTAAAAATACAAACTCAATTGAAAAGAGGTAACAAATTATAGTCCTACCTTGGAAGTTAAAGTTAAAATAAGAGGTAAAAAGAAATTATAAAGGAAATTGGTGTAGGAATAGTAGAACGACTCGAACCCAACGGGAAAATCTGAAATCCGACTAAATTCGGGTCTAGTCGGTTTGAATAATATAGGGTCGGGTCGGGTATCGAGGTAAAATTAGGATATTTTTCAGGTTCGGGGTAAGGTATCCCCGCCCCGATTATATATATATATATATAATATTTTATATATTTTATATTAATTATATAATACAAACAAAACATTTAAGCTAGGTTTCGAGGTTATATGAGATTTGATTATATATATAATATGTGTGCGCAAAGTTGGTTGTTGAATGAGATTCGAGGTAAGTCGGTAACACTATATTCTATATTAACTTATATGTCATTTTCTTTTTAAATAATATTTGTGTTAAAGGATAATTTATGTTATTTTGTTTATAGAAACTTGTTCGGAAGAGACCGAGACATATTGTCGCTCTGTTGAATATGATTATGACTTGGATGAGGTAAATAATGTTTATAAAAACCTTATTGTTTTGGTAACATGTTTTTATAATTATTAAAGTAAAATTTAGTTGATTTATTGATAAATTTTTTAATATAGGGAATTACCAAAGAAAGTGATAAAAGTGACACGATGATTTTGGATGATTTTATTTGACTTAATATTACTTATGCATCTTCAATGTATGATTTGAATATCGGAACAAGTTTGTATGTAATTATGTTGTGTTTTATTTTGGAGTTTAGACAATTATTTAGAATTGAGTTTGAATTTGTGACTGTAGTTTGAATTGTAAATCATGTATACTAATTTTCTAGTTTTTTGTGATCATTTTTTTTTTATTTTTTATGAAAACTACGTATGTTAGGTTTTTTTTCGAGATCAGATCGGGTTCAGGTACAACCTTTTGTGTTGGGTTCAGGAACGGGGTAAAAAAATCTTCGATAGAGCACTTCGATAAAAAATCCGACGAAAAACGGGACAAAAATAGGAACAGAGATTCATTTCGACGACGAGGACGGGGAGCAAAACCCGCCCGTTGCTATTCCTAAATTGGTGGTTAATTTTGGTAGGAAAAACTAGTGACGTTATCCAAATAAGAATCGTTAATAGATGCAATTATTACCAGATTACAATCTTAATCCCTACAATCCAGACGACCCTACGTGGCAGTGGCTTTATTGTCAATTATGCGCCTCCTTTGGGGTCCGACGCTCGATAAATCATACCCGCCAACCCAAAATATATAATTAATTGTTGAAGAATTAAAACCAAAAGAAAAACGATACGCAATTTAAAAACGCACATCTTTTTTTTCCCTTTCACAGAAAGAGAAAAGAAAGGGGGGGGGGGGAAGAGGGGTTAAGGCTTTAAGGTGTCAAATTTCGCAATGGCGGGAGTAGAGAAGCAAGAGAGAGTTGTTGTAAATGGAGGCAAAAAGGAAGAAGAAGAAGAGATGCTGTTGGAAGGAATGGCGGTGTTGGATTTCGACATGCTATGTTCGACGGTGGCTTTGCAAACCCAGGGCAAATGGAGGAAACTCGAAAACGCCGAGGATCCTTTAGAACAAGGAAGCGGAGATTTCGGTGGCGTTTTCAGGATGTGGGAAGGTGAAGTTGTTCTTGATTTCTTGGATGACCGCCGTTTCGCACTCGAATCTGCATGGTTAGTTCTCTTTCTCTCTATCTGGATTTTGAGAAAGAGGCATTTAAAAAAAAATCGTAGATAGGAGTACTAAAATTGTTTGCTCTATTAATTCGTTTGTCTTTAATCCCGACATTTCGGATGCTGTCAAAATACATAAAAAACAAATGTTTTTTACATTTTTTTAATGTTGGCGTTAAGAATGAAACTCATTCAAGACGAACCCGCTCCTTTTACCGATCCATTTTTTTAAATTGTGTATGTATGTTTGCAGCTTCGTTGTTTTTTTTCCTTCTGCAAAAGAGTTTTAGAGGCAAAAGAAAAAACATTTAATCATTTTGATTAGTTTAAAAACGATTATGATTATGTTATGTAGCTCTTGTTTTGATGTTATGAAACTAATAATACAAGTGCTTATATTTGTGTTTGTGCAACAATTTGTGTTGATATTGCAGCTGTCCCTGCTACAGATTTGGGAAGAACATGCGACGGGCTGGTTTCGGGTTTTGTTTTCTTCAGGTAAAAGTTTTCATATTTCTACATTATTATAACTCAAAACCCCGTTCCTGGAATTGGGAAATTCCCAGATATGTGTTTCCATGGTCGTATTATGATATGCAAGTTTGGGGATTATATAAATTATAGTTCCTGCACTTCAGATTTAATTGCCATCGATGTTGTATTTCAACATTTTCTGAATGTGCTTAATTTGCTTTTGCAGGGAACTGTTCATTTCATCCTTGCAGCCACTGCTATTCTCAACTTTGTTGCCTTTATCGTCACCAAGCGGAATTGTTTTTTGTATGTGGGTGTTGCTTTCATCGTGTCTGTTGGAGCATATCTGGGTTTCTTCCGTACACGGATAAAAAGAAAGTTCAATATTAGGGTGAGAACTTTATTTTTTTGAACGTGCCTTCACTTTTTCCAAGTCTAGGGTTCTAATAATAAGTGATCATATCCTACTTCTTTCTGCTTGGTAATTATCATATTCCTAATTGAATTTGTTGACCAGGATTTTATTGTTCTTGTGGATTGACATCTAAGTTTCAAGGTCTATGTTGCTTTGATGTAGACTACCAAAACACAGATAGATCATTTATGTTTTAACAATGCACCCACACACCGAGTTCCAAAATTGAAACCTTCAAACTCTTAGGGCCACAACATGCCTTTTATGAAGAAGTGAAGGCATGCCCAGTCAATTTTCTTTATTCCTGTTATTACGGCATTTTTGGTGCATTAAACTTCCCTTCTTTTGCATATAAGAATTTAAAGCTTGATATTTGTGTATTGTTCTATTAAACGTCAGCTCATGTAGCCAATTTATGTGATGGTTTTCTATTGATACTTTCTGGATAAGACTAGCTATCTTTACTTTCAGCTACATGTTTGACCTCTGTGATTTGCTGATCTTTTGTCTATGTTGATGTTGCTCTTAGACTTCTTATAGTTATTTACACTTTAATTTTACCAGCACCTGACACTCTTGATTCGGTTGGGAATTATGTTTTTTTTTTGTAGGGAGATGAGAGCTTATTGGATGATTGCTTCTACCATCTTATCTGCCCTTGCTGTACACTATCCCAGGTTCTTATCCTTGCCAAACTGTTTTTCGAATTTATCAACTCTATAATCCATATATGCAACAAGACTCGTTCAACCAGTAACAAAATCAAATGTGGTTCAAATTTCAGTTCTTAAAATCCTCCGCATTCGTGAAGATTGATAAATAGCTTTTATTCTTCAGGAATCTAGAACACTGGAGATGAACAATGTCCAAGATGGTACATGGCATGGTCGTGGGGATATATGCATAGGAAACAATGCCGAAGGCAGTAAACCACTTTTTGAGCTACACCCTCCTCCTCAGTCAATTAAGGCATCTTAGCCTCAAAATAGTTTAAATGGAAATGATAATGCTTGAACATGAGAAGCTTTACTTGGAAGATATAGATCAATGTTGGCTACAACAGTGAATTACGAACTTCCCTGACAATTCATTCTTTGATGGAGGGATGTTAAACAACCAGAATAGACAGCAGAGCTATTTTGGCTTGGATCATCGAATCATGCAACAACGATGACCTATTTTATTTGAGAAGCATATCGGTGCTTCCATGTGCATAGAAGTTGTAACAGTTTGGGGGAGTTTTTAGGACATCCAATCTTACATTAGGTTATTACTTTTAGTTTTCTGAGATGGATCTTGAGGCAATGCCCCTCATTCATCTTTACCTCGATTGATTAGATGCTTCTCTCAAATGTGTAACTTTATTTTCCATACCAAACTGTGAACCTTTCCTGACCTCATCCGAAATTGATCTCTCACTAATCAATTCCATCCAAAGCAACAAATTCCAATTTTCTTTGATAATTGTATATTGGCCCTAGATTTAATTGTCATTCAGCCTGGATTTTAATATAATTTTATCGATTGAAGTTATTTGATTGTCATTGAGTTCATGACTTTATTAAAAGACGTATAGGACATGGAACTGGAAGAACAACTTTATATAAGGATGAAGGGTTAGATATTATGACAATTAACTGGTAGGTAATCTATAGATTTAGTATTCAAAATCTAGCATCAATTAACTCTCTTTCAAGCACATAAATCTTCATTCTCCTTGTTTGTTTGCTTTTATTTAAACCAGAGAAATGTAAACTCCATTTATTCTTTTTCAAGGGAACCCCCCCCCCTTTTTTAATTTTAAGAAAATATCTTATTGAAGGAGGCATTGCTCTATTCCCTTTCTGCTACAAAATAACACAGCATTAACACAAACAAACAACTTGTACAGTTTTAACGTTTCGAAGCCTTGTTTTGTCCTTCATGTCCCTTCTCCAACAGCTGGCATGTCACCCGGTTAAATGCAGAATAATAAATTAATTAAACAAATGATAAACCCATCAAACAAAATGGATTAGATTTTTCTCTCTCTAGCTGCAAAACTTCATTTTATTACTTTCACTGCAAAAACCATTCAGTTTGCGAGGCTCAGTCGTTACGGTGGCTGTTGGCACTCTCGCTTTCTGATTTGTTGCAGTGGCAGTCCAATACACTTATTGGGGTTCTTGTGCTTGAGCTTGACGCCACATCTACCATTGATTCGCTCACTTCGTTACTCGCCATCTCTTGCATCGCATTAAAGCATTTCAGCACTATCTCCTGTCAAACCTTATCGTCAAATTCATTCATTATTCTAAACTATCGTGAAATGAAACAAATTGTATGCTTTGAGACTAGATATAATTTGGCGTACTAGCTTGCTTGCTTACTTTGTTTACATATTCACAAGACAAAATTGAGTTTTGGAAAGAAGGAAACTGTAACGGGAATAGCTCATGACATGCCAGAAGAAGAGCCGTTGCTGCGATCACCGATGGTTTGTACCCTAGCAGATTGATTTCTGTAACAAAACCCCCCCCCCCAAAAAAACAGAGTTTTCCTCTCGTTTAAGTTGTTTTGCCATGAAAAAGACAAGCTGAAATGATTTCAACGTTCTGTTTAATTACCATTACGTGCTTGGAAGATTATATTAGTTGCTCTGTCTTTTAATGTTTGTGGCAAAGGCGGATCTTTTGGCTCGAACAAAGATGTGAAGAAAGTAATAAAGGAGAAGGGTTTTATGATCTCATTCGCCATTTCAAGGCATCGAGAACCAGAAGCTCCATTCGTTGGATAGCTGGGGGATCAAATATGAATCTTTCTTCTCTCTGTTTCATCTGTTTATTAATCTTCTTGCACGAGGATAAACAAACTAAGGAGAAGAAACTTGAATGCACTGTTTACCTGAAAATCAGAGAAGGATAAATGTATTTCCTTCATCTTCCCAGCCAAAGAAATGCAAGCTATCACAAGGAGCCTCAAAACCCGTGGATTACTTAGCTGCAAAGTTCAACACGAGTTGCATTAATGTTAGCATAAGTTGTTCTTACAATGCATCAACGAAGCCCGTGTTTGATTACCAAGAAAAAGAGAACAAATAAGGACTCTGCAACGTATTTAAAGGTTTTTTCTGTGTTTTTCAATAAACTCTTCATTAATCTATCTAAAGTTTGGTTGACAATTCATTAACTATAAAGATAAAAAGAGATGATATCAAACTATACCGGGATTTCTTGCCAAGAGATGAACCGATCCATGTAGTTAATAGCCAGGTATTGCGTGTAGAGATCAAGGTTACAATAATACTGTGCCTGACAAACTAGAATAGGTTTACGACAAAATGCAGGAATATAAAAGACAAGAACAGTAAACAACATTCTTTAAAAAAAGATGAAAAGAGAATTAAAAAAAACAGTATGGGATACCTTCAAAATGAGAGAAATCGCTTCCCGTCGGAAAGAAGCATGAAGGTCACTGGTCTTTAAACATTGAAAGTAGTTGCGAGAAGGCATGTAATCAGATTCTGAAGAGAAAAGAACTGAAATTGAACCGGATTGTTGTTCTTCTATCCTCGTCAATGGGTCCTGAAGATTAAAGTTATCCATATCAAATTCTCTCTGAATCGCTTCGATTTCGTGGTGAATCCGTTTTCTTTCTTCCTCCTTTGGCCTTTCTTGTTTTGATGTATGTTTGGGAATTGTAGAATGAGAGAAGAATGGGAAAGAATAAATGGTGAGAGAGAGAGAGAGTAAAAGTCTGCAAGAATAAATCTAGTTCGTGATCTCTCTAGTTATTATATAGGGAGAAAGACGATTAAAAGATCTTTTGTTGAAAGTATTAAAATGGTTTTCAAGTTTGGTAATCAATTTTAAAAAAATGGTTTTCAAATTTTGGTAAATATTTCTTTGAAAAATAGTTTTTCAAAGTTTGGTAGATGTTTGTTGAAAAATGATAATGAGATAATCACAATTAATCCCTATGTTTTAGGGTATTTACAAGATTATGTCCTTAAGTTTCAACTATAAATACCTTAGCTCATTTTGCTTCAATACCATTCCAAAAATCATTTCTTTCTCCCAATACTAGAGAGCTTTCTTGTGAGTAGTGAGTGTTTTGTAAACACCTGTAAATTTTATCTCTTAGTAAAAGATCTGCAGCAGTCCGGAGACGTAAGCACGAACTCCGTTATCAATTTCGGGTATTATTTTTCTGCTTTTATTTCGTATTCTCAATAATCTGGTAATAGGAAAATTACTTGTACTTGGTTTATTTCCCAACAACTGGTATCAGAGCTTTTGGTTGTGAATTCTGTCAATTTTTTGCGGGGTTATTATTCGGGTTACTATTCACGTGAATAATGAATTTTGTGAATAGTAAAATTCGGTCGGTGATACGAGTTTGTCGACGGAGGTGTTCTAATACACGACGGTTCGCGGAAATTGTCAGAAACGATCCAAACGAAGCCAAATTCGAGTGGAAGCGATGGCTGCAGACGAAGGGAAGGTGAAAATTGAAAAGTTCGATGGTGCGGACTTTGGATTTTGGAAGATGCAAATTGAAGATTTTCTATACCAGAAAAATCTATATCAATCCCTCTCAGGAAAACAACCAGAGGGCATGAAGAATGAAGACTGGGCTCTTCTCGACAGACAAGCCCTCGAAGTTATCCGACTGACGTTATCCCGCAATGTTACTTTCAACATAGCAAAGGAAAAGACCACGGCGGGTCTTATGACGGCTCTCTCCAGTATGTATGAGAAGCCATCGGCCTCAAACAAAGTTTATTTGATGAGGCGATTATTTAATTTGCGGATGACGGAAGGGGCATCGGTGACACAACACCTAAATGAACTCAACACAATCACAACCCAGTTGAGTTCAGTGAAAATTGAATTTGATGATGAAGTTCGAGCTTTAATTCTCTTATCATCTTTACGAGACAGTTGGAATGCTACTGTTACAGCAATCAGCAGTTCATCGGGAAACAACAAATTAAAATTTGACGATGTTCGGGATCTGGTACTGAGTGAAGAAATTCGACGGAGAGAATCGGGTGAAGCATCAACCTCATCAGCCTTGCACACGGAGTCCAGAGGGAGAACTTCAGAAAGAAATTCAAATCGTGGCAGATCGAAATCCAGAAGGGGAAAATCAAGAACAGGAAATAAAGATTTTACATGTTATAATTGCAGCAAGAAGGGCCACTTCAAAAGAGATTGTCGAGCACCGAAGAAAAATACTGGCGCACAGGAATCTGCCAACATGACGGAGGAGACATGTGATGCTATGATTTTAAGCTTCAACAGTCTGATTGAATCATGGATTTTGGATTCAGGGGCATCTTTCCACTCCACGCCATGCCAAGAAATCATGGAGAACTATGTCAGTGGTGATTTTGGGAAGGTTCATCTTGCTGATGATGAAACCTTGAAGATCGTCGGAAAAGGAGACATCCGATTAAAGCTGCCAAACCAGACCACCTGGAAGCTGACAGGAGTGAGACATATTCCTGGTCTCAAAAGAAATTTGATTTCTGTAGGACAACTTGATGGAGAATGATACAGTACAACCTTTTCAGGCTGTGAATGGAAGATTACCAAAGGAGCACTCGTCATTGCTCGTGGTAAGAAGACTGATACTCTCTATGTAACCTCAAATTTAGAGAATATCATTGCAGTAGCAGATGTTGATGGAAAATCAAACCTATGGCACCAAAGGCTTGGCCATATGAGCGAGAAAGGAATGAAGATACTTCTGTCAAAAGGGAAGCTGCCGGATCTAAAGAATGTAGATGTCGGACTATGCGAGGATTGCATCTTTGGCAAACAAAAGAAAGTCAGTTTTGCAAAGATTGGCAAGACACCCAAGGCAGAAATGTTAGAATTGGTTCATACTGATGTATGGGGACCATCCCCAGTTCCATCTCTTGCAGGCTCACTATATTATGTCACCTTCATCGATGATTCAACAAGGAAGGTGTGGGTTTATTTTATGAAGAAAAAATCAGAAGTCTTCGATACCTTCAGAAAATGGAAGGCCATGGTGGAAAATGAGACTGGTTTAAAAGTCAAGCGGTTGAGGTCTGACAATGGAGGAGAGTACAGAGATAGTAGATTCAGAGATTTCTGCGCAAACAATGGGATCAAGATGGAGACAACAGTTCCCATAACACCGCAGCAGAATGGCGTAGCAGAGCGCATGAACAGAACTCTGAATGAACGTGCCAGAAGCATGAGGATACATGCCGGATTGCCCAAATTTCTATGGGCTGAAGCTATCAACACTGCAGCTTACCTGATCAACCGTGGGCCCTCAGTTCCTTTGGATGGCGGAATACCAGAGGAAGCTTGGAGCAAGAAAGAAATAAACCTTTCACACTTAAGAGTGTTTGGTTGTATTTCTTATGTACACATAAACTCTGCTGAAAGAAGTAAACTTGATGCCAAGTCCAACAAATGCGTATTTGTTGGTTACGGTGGTGATGAGTTTGGTTACCGGTTTTGGGACTACGAAAATCGGAAGATCATTAGAAGCAGAGACGTCATTTTCAATGAAAATGTGATGTACAAAGACAGGTCAACCGCAGAATCAAGTAATACCGAAGCTGAAACAAAGGAATTTGCTGAGTTCGAGGAGATTTCTGGAAATGATGTTCAGATCAATCCTGAAGCAGTTCAAGAGGAAGAACCAGGCACACCAGAACTAAGACGCTCCTCCAGAATTCCTAAACCAACCCAATGGTATTCTCCTTCTTTGCACTACTTGTTGCTGACTGATAATGGTGAACCAGAGTGCTATGATGAAGCAATGCAAGTAGAGGATTCAGTCAAGTGGGAGACTTTCATGAAAGATGAGATGGACTCGCTTATGTCAAATCAGACGTGGGAATTAGCTGAATTACCACCAGAAAAGAAAGCGCTTCACAACAAGTGGATTTACAGGATCAAAGAAGAGCACGATGGGAGCAAACGCTACAAAGCGAGATTGGTTGTCAAAGGTTTTCAGCAAAAAGAAGGTATTGACTACAATGAAATTTTCTCTCCAGTCGTGAAACTGTCTACAATCAGACTGGTGTTGAAAATTGTAGCTGTAGAGAATTTACATCTTGAGCAGTTAGATGTAAAGACAGCTTTCCTTCATGGTGATTTGGAGGAAGAAATCTATATGAGGCAACCAGAAGGCTTCATAGAGGTAGACAAGAAAAACCTGGTATGCAGGTTGAAGAAGAGCTTGTATGGTTTAAAACAAGCTCCTAGACAGTGGTACAATAAGTTCGATAGTTTCATGAGCAGCAGTGGTTTTACCATATGCCAAGCAGATCATTGTTGCTACATCAAGAGGTTCGACAATAGCTTCATTATTTTATTGTTGTACGTTGATGACATGCTCGTTGCAGGCTCAGACATGCAAGAGATTATAAACTTGAAGCAAAAATTGTCAAAGCAGTTTGCTATGAAGGATCTGGGCACTGCAAAGCAGATTCTTGGGATGAGGATCAAGAGAGACACAAAGTCAGGGACTTTGATATTATCACAGGCTGAGTACATCAACAAAGTACTCTCCAGGTTCAACATGCAAGATGCTAAACCAGTAAGTACACCTTTAGGTGTTCATTTCAGACTCTCCAAAGAACAGTCACCAAAGACGGAGGAAGAACGTGCACACATGGTGAAGGTGTCGTACGCCTCAACGATTGGAAGTCTGATGTATGCCATGGTTTGTACCAGACCAGATATTGCTCAAGCAGTGGGAGCTGTTAGCAGGTACATGAATAATCTGGGCAAGGTACACTGAGAAGCAGTCAAATGGATCCTCAGATATCTATGGGGTACCACAAACAAAGCACTTTGTTTCAAAGGTGGAGATACGATACTGACAGGCTATGTAGATGCTGACTTAGCTGGAAATGTTGACATCAGAAGGAGCACTACATGGTATGTCTATACTCTAGGAGGAACCGCAGTGAGTTGGGTTTCTCAACTACTGAAGATAGTTGCTCTCTCCACAACTGAAGCAGAATATGTCGCTGTTACGGAAGCTAGCAAGGAGATGGTTTGGCTCCAAAGTTTCTTGGAAGAGTTAGGCAAGGAACAAGAAAACAATGTCTTGTATTGCGACAGTCAAAGTGCTATACATCTAGCAAAGAATCCGTCTTTTCATTCCAGGACAAAGCACATACAATTGCGATATCATTTTATCCGGTCTCTTCTGGAAGATGAGATTTTGAAACTTGAAAAGATCAGTGGAGCTCAAAATCCGGCAGATATGTTGACAAAGACGGTGACTACAGACAAACTGAAGTTGTGTTCAACTTCAGTTGGCATGCTAGAGTAACAAGACTAGAAAAGCTGTTGCATTGATCGAGGTGTGAAGACAGATTAAAATCAGTCTTCAAGTGGGAGATTGTTGAAAGTATTAAAATGGTTTTCAAGTTTGGTAACCAACTTTGAAAAAATGGTTTTCAAAGTTTGGTAAATGTTTCTTTGAAAATGGTTTTCAAAGTTTGGTAAATGTTTCTTTGAAAAATAGTTTTTCAAAGTTTGGTAGATGTTTGTTGAAAAATGATAATGGGATAATCACAATTAATCCCTAGGTTTTAGGGTATTTACAAGATTAAGTCCTTAAGTTTCAACTATAAATACCCTAGCTCATTTAACTTCAATATCATTCCAAAAATAATTTCTTTCTCCCAATACTAGAGAGCTTTCTTGTGAGTAGTGAGTGTTTTGTAAACACCTGTAAATTTTCTCTCTTAGTAAAAGATCTGCAGCAGTCCGGAGACGTAAGCACAATTGGCTGAACTCCGTTATCAATTTCGGGTATTATTTTTCCGCTTTTATTTCGTATTCTCACTAATATGGTAATAGGGAAATTACTTGTACTTGGTTTATTTCCCAACATCTTTAGCATCGAAGAGTGACCAAAAATTTGTTATATGAAAATTGTGTAGCGACATGTCTCAACTGATTCCGATCACAAGATTAAAAAAAAATTATTTCTTTTTATTTTCTTTTATTTAAAAAAATAATTTCTTCTTTTATATTTCTCAGTTTTGAATTTCGTCTCGGATTGTTTGATTCGGATAGGATAACATGTATCCATGTGCATTGTGATGCCAATAATTCTTCTTCCTGCCACATCTATCATGATTGATTTTTTTTAAATGGCATGAAAGCATAATGGAAAGTAATTATTCATTATGAGTTCAAATTAATTGTCAAATAAAAAAATTAATATTATTTTATAATAGTAATAATTATAAATTTAAATAGGTAAACTAGTTTTGGTGAATAAATTAAGGTAGAATAAGAAAACGAGGGGAGATACCAAAATTACAAGGACATATGAAGCCAAAGAGCTTTAAATTGTTGTTTTCGCACCTCAATTTGTCCCAATAGAATGTACCTTTTGTTCTTTCTTTACTTTTCTAGCGAGTGTCTTCTTCTTTTTAACCCAATCGATTCTCTAAAGACTGTCATTGATGCAAGAGAAAACCAATAAAACACCTCCTACAGATCCATTTCCATTAGTTGGGCAACTGGTGACGGATAAGCTTCTGCCTTTTATTTTTCATATTCTACATATATAACTTATCCAAATAGTCAATTACAATTAATTATTTTAAATGTAAATTTTGTTAGTAATCAAGTGCTCTTAGAATATCGTTTGATTTGTACAATGTGGGTTAAATTATTAATTAAGTATCGTTAATAATGGAAATATGTACATAATTTACAGGGGAGGGCTTTGAATGGAAGACATAGATATAATATAAAGCATTTGAAGATACGAGTGCATGCATGCATGTTCACCTTTCACTCCATGCAGACAACATCATATCGTCCAAAGTCCCAAGGCAGCGATGACTATGATATCAGACTAGTAGGGCTCAAATATAAAGACAATATCATTGTTACACATATGTATACTTACATTTTCTATTATTCAGCGATGTTTATGTTGTCATGGATTCATGATCAATCATCGTCACCCATGAGTCAAGGCAGTGTAGGTGAGAGAATGTATGTTTCGATGGGCGATGGCCTTACAAATTTGAGAACAATAAGGAGCGTTTGTAGTAAGAGAAAACTGAGAGTTTTACCCTCTGGAACTTAAACTGGGAATTGGTCCAACCAAATTTAATGCAATAATAAAACCCAAAAACAAAGAGGGGGATTGGCGCAGTAGTCGGCATCAGCATCAATTCGACCCCTTTGATCTGCTGCATGAAACTTCGGAAGAGGACCAACGAGTGGTTAATTAAATTGGGTTCCAATCTTATTGAGGCTGCTAGCATACCCGCCCTTTGGATCAGGGCTCAGACAATGTACATAACCATGCATGCCATGGCCGCAGTTAACAATAACTCTTTGTTGTATGAAGGTCGCAGATGAGTGGACGAGGCTTTGAATTGGACCGCCCTAAGCGTGGTCGGGTTCTCACATTCTCCGGAGCAATGCCGGAGCCACAACTTGGTGAGATGGGCACGGTGGACCCTCAAATTCGAATTTTCTTCGATTATTTACTATTTTAGCGAGGGTTCCCATCCTAAATTTTTTTCGTGTCCATCATAAAATCTGGGTTTTTATTCGATTAGTTATTTATTTTATACGCCCATCCTGAAATTTTACTTGTAGTTATCTCATTTTAAAATTTTATGTTGTTAATGTATAGGTGTCCATCCTAAAAAATATTTCTAGATCTGCCATCGAGGGCAGGTTGAATTAGATGCAAAATCTTACGCATTATTGTATATATGAGGTGAAAATGGTTTATGTATGTATTTGGAAAGCTGCCTAACCGGTCCCATACGGCCGGAACTGGGAAGAATGATCGGCCCAATAAGATTCAAGTTGCTGCTTGTCAAAACCGCTTAGTGGTGGTTCGAAAGAAAAACAAAATAAGTCTTTAACCAGTAGCCCGCTTATTCGAACAGTGGGGTTACTAGTCAAAATAAATTGTACATGCAAACAAGTTTGAAATCTTACACCTAAGCTCATCCGGATAAAGTATCTGTTTCCATTATGATAAATTGTACATGCATCATGTTAACCTAAGACATTTGGAGAGTTTACGGCAGTTATATATAGTATGTGACAAAGATCCCCAAAGGCCAAAGCTCAGCATATACGATAATATTGTAAGAAAATAAGAGGACTCAAACCAGCTTGCAGTAATTTCTCATGCATAAATAAGATCAAAAGGTGGCAAATAAATACATTCCATTCAAAGTCAACTAAATTAAGTAAACCCCCTCCAAGCCATTAAATTTTTGGCTATTGATGTAGTTAAAAAACAATGGAAGCTGCTAATTAAATTTACAGTTATAGTTTGATGGTGGCCATCATGTGAAGTAACCAAGGAAGCACGCAGGGTTTCCTTTAGAATCCAATTAAGAGAAGATGCTTGAGAGTTTTTCAAGAAATCTCTCTGCCCATTTGCTTCCATTTGAATATCAAAATGTTGCCTTCTTGCGCTAAGAATTTGAATGTTCTTTGCTTCATCTCCACTTCAGCTTTTGTTATTCAATGCCAAAGTAAACGAAATGAACTTGTATGAGCCGAACACCTCTGGTTTTTCTTCAACTTTTTGCTTTCTCGACATTTTTCACCGATTCTTTGTACTCTTGATTTTCTCAAATATTTCAACCAGGACAAAGGAAATATTAGGAAAAAAAATGTTGGTCTTCAACAATATCTTTAGATGCCATAGGCTGATACAGAACCCGGTTCGGTTGCTGCTTAGGAGCTGGCACAAAGAACCTATTCCAGTGTCGTGGAAAAAGCCCGAAATCGGATGGACTAAATTAAACTTTGATGGATCTTGTAAGGGTAGAGGAGGGAAAGGAAGCATTGGAGGGATCATCAGGAACCACAAGGCTGAATTCTTACTCGGATATGCTGAATCCATAGGGAGAACCACTAGCACTATCGCCGAACTATCTGCGTTACGAAGAGGCCTCGAGTTGGTATTGGAAAATGGTTGGACCGATCTATGGCTTGAAGGCGATGCCAGGACATTGATTGATGTCATTGTCCGTCGGAGGCAGGTTAAATGTGCCGAAGTACAAAGATATGTTAGCCACATAAACTTGATCATACCGGAGCTTAACAATTGCGTCCTGACACATATCTATAGGGAAGGCAATAGAGCTGCTGATATGTTTGCTCAAATCGGACATCAGCTAGAGAAGCCTCGAATTTGGTGGCACGTTCCTCCGAATGAAGTTGTACGTATTGTGGAGGAAGACGCTGAGGGTAAGATGATTATTCGCAGACGATAAACCAATTCTATTTGTAATATATTTGTACGTTTAACTATTTGTCAGTAACTGGTAGTCTGCAATTTTTCTTGTTGTCAAATATGCTAAATCTAGTCAACGTATCCCCTTTTCCACATGTAACTTCGCTGTATATATGTAATCAATTTCAGGTTTTAATGCCAAAAATAAAACCAGGTGTTATTATCTAAGTAGCTCATTATTCATGAAAAAGCTGGTCGATGGAGAATTGTGAAATTAAGTTATACCTTTTGAGATTTCAGTTAAGAACCTGCCATTCAAGTGGTCCGTAGCTGGAACCTGAAGTTGTAATTAAAGAAAATCATGGTAAACAAGTCAATGAAATCGATAGTTGGATGTGGGGGGTTAAAGGCAGTACAAAATTGATGGTTCCAGTATAATATTTAAAATAAAATTAGGCCTCAGCAGGACTTTAGACCGAATCGGTTTCTTATCTACTCAGTAGTTTGCCTTCTACGGTGGCCTGAGCTAGTTCTCTGTGCGTTGCCACCGCCGTATAACACGGCCCTGCACTCAATATGATTTTGTTTCCCGTATTTTATCATCGCCCCTGTCCCTGTGTTGAGGTGACGGATTGGTTTTCCAGTTCAAAACCAAGAAGTTATGCTGTAGTTGCAAGCGTGTCGGACTTGTAATAGTAATTCATGAAATTTAGATGAGATTTTGCAAACGGATGGATGGTTTCTGCTTTCATTCCCCTGACCTGTGGGTCTACATGCAATTACGGCTGATATGTCATTTATTCTTTTAGCATAAGCGATACAATGGATGTATAAAGTCAATACAAGCAGACACAAAATTCAGTATTTTATGATTCTCACTTCAATCAAATTCAAACAAAATTAATGAAATTACATACACACAGGCAGGCAACAAACATCCATCTGCTTGAACCCCTATATCAACCTATTCCTGTATCCCTTAAAATAATGTATCACCTAAGCTATGAGCTAACGTTTCTTCACGGCCGGTTCCTTCTGCGAATTGAAATACACTGCAGCAACGGGAAGCCCCAGCCTGTTTCGTTCAGCGAATCGGCGAGTGCTGAAATTGGCACGCACATCCGTCGCCTGAATCCTTCCTTCCATTGCTCCTTCCTGCTTAAAGAGTGCCAAAATATAGCGGTGAATCCCTGTAGGAGGTTGTGGTCCCACGTAAGCCACCAACTCTCGTCCTGTATTAGAGATGTTATAGTTTTAAATGAATTTGGTTCTCGATTCCTTGAAAATGATTCATATGTAAGAAATAGATCAATGGCAAAGGTAACACCTTTGGTAGCATCATGTCCCTCAGGAATATCTACTACAATCCTGCAGCATAAACATTACTTTTTTACCAAAATTTACGTTGTAAAAACCTAAAACTCTCCCACTCTTACAGATGCAGTAGCAGAGATACGCATAAAATGGCTTATATTTACCAATGGAGCCACTCCCTCAACCGTGGTTCACTCGGACTTGGAGCATCAGGATCAACCATAACCTACGTATTATTGCCAACGGTAAGTACTATCTTTAAATCACTAACAAAGTACTGTGCAAGAAAATTGAAGAAAAAACTGAAAAAAATACATACGAGTGTGTATAAATTCGAAGAGATTGAATGGCAAAGGATTTGGACATGAGGTTTGTCAGCAGCAGCAGATGGCTTGATGTTACAGCCATTGGTTACTTGCTTGCTGCCATACTGGACGTTGAACTCCGATGCCGGAGTGAACATGTCGAGCACATCTCCGATCACTCCGCCAACAACCAGCGTCTCAACGGACCGAGCCATAGTGTCCTATACTAGATATTTGTGTTTTGTCTTTTGATTGAATTAGTCAAATTTATATGGTTTTGGAACTTTTTAGACCTTTTGGGGGTAATGCTAAGTGACGAAGTGAAATTGGCCAGTTGTGCTTTGTCGAAGACTGACACGTTGATGACAACTCTGGTGAACTTTGCACGTCGCCCCTGTTCACTATGGAAAGTGCCAAGTGGACACGTGTTGGTAATCGGGTCAGTTGCCGGCTGCCAAATTCTTTGATTTGACTTAAATATCCTCGAATTCATGTCTTAATAACAACACTTGTTTTCATGTTTTATGCGAAGATCTCAAGGGTCAAGATAGACATCTCATCGTTACCGGGCCCTTAAAGCTTTAGGTCGTAAACTATTAACAAAGACTTGGGTTCAAGTGTGAAAATACCAGGAAAAAAAAGCTACAATCAAACTGCACTAAAGGGTAAGTGGGGAGTTCCTATTCGTCCACAGTTGTACCTTTATATTTAATGCCAAAACACATAATTAGGTGGCACAATCAGACGCCCGTATCGGGCTTAGTCGATTGGATAACTGATGCATCGTTTTGGACGCTTCCGGGGACCATTATTTAGTCTTTTAAATAATTACTCCATAAGCCATTAATTATTGCTGTTAAGTTGATAATTTGACCTTTTAAATACTGATTGAGGTAAATTTTTAAATGCTTATAAAAATATTATTAATTAATAAAATAAGTAAATCCTTAACAAGAAAAAGTTTGTATAGATCGCTAACCCAAAATCCCAGAAAAACCATAAAATAAGACATTAACAAGACCATAAAATAACAAGGGGTAAACTGTATATGAAATATTGTCCTAAAAAGTAAATTTGTGTTGAGTGATATAACCGTTAAATGAAAGATGTTTTTTCAAGTTAACACAAAACTTGAATCCATATTAAAATTCTACCTAAAAGTCAGCAATGAATTCCTCTTTTATATATTAATTCATCCAGAAAATATTTCTTTTCTTAATATGAAATATATATTTTTATATCTCATAAGGATTACTAACACCACCGGGTTCATGCAAATGATTCATATTCAGTTGTTTGTTACTCGACCCATGAGGTATCTATGGCTTCGCTTTGGGCTGTTTCATATGTAAGCCATTCTATATTGATTTGATTGGAGACATATGATCTTTTGGGTATAATAGAAAAGAAAAAGAAAAAGATTTCATTACTCTGCAGAGTAGAGGTCTGAGCCCATTAATCCCACACAAAACAGGACTTTCTTCACCGTCAAAACAAATGATTTTGATTTGCTCACCGTCATATGTAATACCGTCAAAGAAAATGACTTTGATTTTGATTTGTTCACCGTCAAGACAAATGATCTATCGGATTCAATTTTTTATTTATAATAACCAAACATTTTTTTAATTTTCAAAAAATTGAAAATAAAAATAATTTTTTAAAAATTAAAAATTAAAAATATTTTTTAAAACCAAATTCGCATTCTCATTGCATAACTTATTCTGTATCTGATAGCACACGACATGCTCGGAACTGATTCATAGTCATATAAGAAATCAAATGGGTTAGAGTTAGCATTATGTAAAACCAGTGTTTAAATCACAAAACAAAAGTCATAATATTATTCCATGAAGCAAGCAAGGCAGTAATGATTAATGAGCCCCAATCGCCACGTGTATATCGGCCGACGTCTTCTTACCGTGAAATAAAGTTTCTCTTTGACTTGAATTAAATTTGCAAATAGGGTGTTAATGTCCTAATCATCCCTACCCGCTGACACTTTCAAACTTTTGCATACTCCCTATTGGTCCATTCCTGTATTTCTCCTATAAGCGAACAAATAACAATTCAACAGCAACTGGCCTAGTTTTCAACAAACAATAGCCATAGAGACGACTTAGAAAACGAAATTAAGGATAAAGCTATTTCATTTTTACCTTTAATACGTAATGTAAAAGGATAAAGCTACAGAATCTATATTGAACTTTACCCTCGTCAATGAAGTAAAGCTTGAAGCAATCATCGGTTAAGGTTACAGCAAAGCCTTTTAACCCCCCAAACAGCCCAGAAATCAACATTCAAACATCCCAACAAAGTGAATTATTAGTCAACAATCCCATTTTTTTTTTAAAAAAGTCCACAAACGGGTAATACTTTCCATCATCTCTCATTTGCATTTTTACCAAGTACGGATCTACATGGTGCTTGGGAGGGACTGTTGCTATCCCTTAATTTTTTGTTATAGTTATGTTTTAGATTTTTTTTAAAATTTAAATATTAATCAAATAAAAGTTTTTCTCTCCTAATTATTAAATTTAAATACTTAATAAATTATTATTATTTTTGTATGAAATTATTTTGTTCATCTTAATATTTGATCCTAGTTTTGTCTATGTTTCGGACGCATCACATTTTCTTGCGCTCACTGTCGTTTCAAAGGCAACGAAAAAGAAAAAACATGAAAAAACACACAGGCAAGTTAAGACAGAAACCCACTTTAGAGAGGGTAGTCGGTTGTTCAAAATGTTTCAAAGAACAAAGTTTCCTTGGGCGGTCGAGAAAATGGAAACGCCACAATGTGAGGGCGTCCTTTTCTCCGGCACTGGTCGGCTCATTCTTCATAGTCAAACAAGGACCCTACCCTACCTTTTATACCTCAATCAATGGACACGTCGACCCTTAAATATCATATTTATACTTTTTAGTATCTTTGTTAAAAGTTTTTAAGATACATCAATGCGATTTTAGTGAAAATAAATATGGTCGTTAAAAATTTAAATTCAATCACCACAATTTCTAAGGTAAAAGATGAAATTAAATACAAGAGTATTTAAATCTTGACCCATAAAAAATTATTTTTTACGTATAAATGACGTAGAGCTTACGTTACTAGGGGAGTGGGGATTTTAAAGTCAAAAGTAATTAAAGTTTCTCACCGATAACTTCTGCTGTGCGACACCTAAAAAAACAGCTAAAAAACGGTGTGACCTGTTAAAAAAGTTACCGGTTATATTATATCATTTAACCGAAAATATTTTCAAGTACAATAATATATTAGGTAGCGCTTATATTGACAAATTTTCTAACTAAACATGTATATTTAAACCAATAACATTGTACATTTACTTATTACATTATAAATATCGGTTTCGATGGAATATATGTGTCGATACTTTTAGAAAATGTATCGACACATATGTTTAACTATTTTCTCATTATAATATAATTAATGATATATTATTCTTATTATAATAAATAATAAATATAATTTATAATAATTTTATTTTAATAAAATATAATAATCATAATTTTTTATTTATAAAATTATAGATATAATATTTTAATAATAATATTGACATAATAAAGAGTGTCGACACATATTTAAAGAGTGTCGATACATAATGTAAACCTATTTGCTAATTAACCAATATATTTTTACCTGTTATATTTTTATGGATCGATATATTTTTATAAAGTATCGACACTTTATTGGCGCTATAACTTCTTTTCTTTTAAATTCTAAAAGTGTCGATACTTATAATAAAGTATCGACACTTTCAACATATCCGGTAGCTCTTTACCGGTTTTGTCATTTCGAGACCGGTTTTGTCATATTTTTACCTGTTATATTGTTATGGATCGATACATTTTTATAAAGTATCAACACTTTATATACCGCTATAACTTATTCTCTTTTAAATTCTAAAAGTGTCGAAACTTATAATAAAGTATCGACACTATCAACATATCTGGTAGCGCTTTACTTGTTTTGTCATTTATAGATCGGTTTTGTCATTTTTTACCTGTTATATTGTTATGGATCGATACATTTTTATAAAGTATCGTCACTTTCAAGATATCCGGTAGCGCTTTACCTGTTTTGTCATTTATAAACCGGTTTTGTCATTTTTTTACCTGTTATATTGTTATGGATCGATACATTTTTATAAAGTATCGACACTTTCAATATATCCGGTAGCTCTTTACCTGTTTTGTCATTTATAGACCGGTTTTGTCATTTTTTACCTGTTATTTTGTTATGGATCGATACATTTTTATAAAGTATCGACACTTTCAATATATCTAGTAGAGTTTTACATGTTTTGTCATTTATAGACCGGTTTTGTCATTTTTTTACCTGTTATATTGTTATGGATCGATACATTTTTATAAAGTATCGACACTTTCAATATATCCGGTAGCGCTTTACCTGTTTTGTCATTTTTTTTACCTGTTATATTGTTATGGATCGATACATTTTTATAAAGTATCGACACTTTCAATATATCCGGTAGCACTTTACATGTTTTGTCATTTATAGACCGGTTTTGTCATTTTTTTACCTATTATATTGTTATAGATCAAATTATTTTAATAAAGTATCGGCACAAACCGCCAAATTTTTTAATATTTCTTCATGATTTCCACCTATTACATTATTATTACTCGATATTTCTAGTAGCGCTAAACCAAATTTATCAAATATCTTTTAATGTATCCGGTAACGCCGTCTATTAGCCGTATATTAGTCTGTCTTTCCTGAGACAATCCCTTTCTGACCGTACCACTAGAAGATAGGGAAGTTGGTATGCTTATAAAATGGCGACTAAGGGGCTGTTTGTTTGCCTCTTAATGAAACCATTCAGTGTTGAATGCTGAACCGTTCAGCATTCAGCGCGTTTTTTTGCACCTCTGAATGATTCAGTGCTGACTGATTCAACAAAACAGTGCTGAATGATTCAGCACAGAAGTACATTCTGAAAGATTCAGAGCCATTATCAAACAGCACGTCATATTCAGAGCTAATTCATTCAGAGCCTTTAAATCATTCAACATTTGAATCATTCAACGCTTAATCATTCTGTATTAAACAAACAGCCCCTAAATGTAACATTTACTGACATTTTTTTCTGCAGTAATATTTAATAAAAATCATTTCTTAAAAGTGAAACAGAAGCACAAAATCAGGTTGAAACGTGGAACTTGAAACAACGTGCGCAATGCAAGTAAACGAGTGTACA